ATGAAATCAATTTCTAACTTATAATGCTAAGATTTATGCTCATCATGATAGGACCAAATACATTGAAATTATTAATTTTGCAATGAAAAGATTGATGATAATGTTATCAAATTTGTCTGTACTCTAACCATTACTCAAACCAACTCTTAAGCTCTTGGCCTATCAACTACAACACTACCACAAGAAATTTTTTTGGATCTATGTTCCAAAATTTGGGATGAATAACATTTTCAACTTCTCTTGAGTGCAAATTGAAAAATATGTCTCTTGCCATGACTGAAAGTTTGAAGCCTACCGATTGTTGTCAACAGACAACTTCAACTATATGTGGAAATTTGGAGCCCACGGATTGTTGCGAATTGGTCCATGGATTTATGCAACCTGATTTTAAAGAGCCATGGATTTGTACATGGGTTATTCATGAACACTATAATTGCCTTCATTTTCATCCAATTTATGATTTTACAATTCAAAATTTGTACAAATGTAAACAAGTATTATGCTATTTTCTTGTATGATTCCATCAAATTATTATAAAAATTTAATATGTGTAAATACATGCAACCTATTTTGATTAATATTGAAGATAATATTATTCTCTCTCAAAAATTTCTTGTACTTACCTTTTATTTTGGGCAATTTTTTGATGTTATGGTTTTTTAGGCAAATATTTGTGTAGCATCATTTTTAGGGCTGGCTGAATTTTCCTCTTTATTGCTAAATTTTAGTGAAAGTTACCAATTTTCCAAAGTATACCTTGAATAGTTGGCACCATTGTAGGGTTTATAACATTGCTCTCACTACTCAGTTATGTTTTATGTAGTGCACATTGCATGGAGTGATACAAGGAAGCTTGATCAAACAAATCCTTAAGCAAAGACTAGCAATATGAACATAATTTTTGTTTCTTATGCATCTTAGCCAAGCTTTAGGAGTTGTTTATTGTTTTTGGATGTAGGTGCATCTTAGCCAAGCTTTAGGAGTTGTTTATTGTTTTTGTATTGATGATTGTTAGTGTTTTTCATCAATATGGTCGAGGTGAGCATTTTTACTTTCTAAAAGGTTGTCATATTTTTTGCTTATGCCACTGTTTCACTGGGTCTGTTTGGGAGAACTTTATGTCTGCTTTGCTTTTCAGACGACCACCACAGTTCTGTTTGCGGCATTGTTTTTCAGAAATTTATTGTTTTTCAGAAATTTCTGTGGTAGTAAGCTGTTTTTTTCAATTTTAGTTGTTAAAATTTGGTGGCTGTCAGAAGGCTACTATATATCATTTTGAAAATAAAATAAACATTGTTTTTCAGAAATTTTTGTGGTAGTAAGCTGCTTTTTTCAATTTTAGCTGTTAAAATTTGGTGGCTGTCTGAAGGCTACTATATATCATTTTGAAAATAAAATAAATTTGTAATTGCAACAATGACATTTTGAGAAATAGTTTCTTCTGCAGCAGTTTCATAGCTGTTTTTTCAAACAGCTGCAGCTACTTCAAATAGCTGTTTTTTCTTATGCACTCAACATCCACTGTTATGATTAAGTGATGTTGGAATTATATCCCGGGGGCTCTTAAAATTTGTGTTTGATTCTTCAGAGAGTCAGCATAATTTTTGAGCAAATATTTTTATAAGTAAAACTCAATTTAAGTTAAGACGATGCTCGAAGATTTTGTCTTCATTGTGTGAGGAATTTAAGCATTGGTTTTAGGTTTTTCATAAGCATAAGCTCTTTTAGTAACTACTGCTTGCGATGATGAGATAAAATTTTAAATTGAGACTTGTTATTAGGTGATAAACACGTAGCATATGATAGCAATAGTTTTGATTTTAGATTAAGAAAATTTATCGCCTTTAGAGTCTGTAGATGGTGGGAGGATGACGACGAATCCGATCAAGATCCCAAATTTTTGTCATCTTGGGGGTAGTGGTTCTAACCGGATCGAAGGATCTTGGTCAATAAAGGTGGTTGTATCATCCAAGGGATTTTGAAAAAATGATTTGAATATTTGTCCAAGAGGATAATTCTAGGTTGAACTTAGTTAATAGTGAGTTTCGTGTTTTATCATGTATACTCTGGAATTCACTGGCCAGGGGGTTTAGACCACTGAGGAGCTTATGAGCTTTGACCATGATGATCATAATTTCATGATATCATTTCTCAGTTAACCACCCAGCTAAAGGCTCCAGACATGATCACGTTTTTTCTGATTTCATTTGATAGCACAAGCACAGTTAAATAATACATGCCAAGTTTTTACTAGTATATGATCTTTGAGAGTCATTATAGAAATACATTTAATGTGACATTGGATTTTTGCCTTTAGGTTGATATTGAATCTATCACTCCCAACAAATTGTTGTGGACAGTCGTTAGATAATTACTTTAAGCTTAGGGCGGTAGATTTAGCTCGAGTTTTTTTATAGATTTTTAATTTTTGAGTGGGCAGTAGATTTAGGTTGAGTTTTTTTAGATTTTATAGTTTTTTATTTTTCATATTTACTTTGGGACTTAAGCCCAAAGCAATCTATATTTGGATTTAGAAGTATTTTATTGATAAAAGTCCCTTGTTGTTAAGATTTTTTATCAATGTGGCTATTTTTGGATGATTTTATTTGTTACTTGGACATTGTCGAATCTGCCCGTTCATTTGCAGCGTATCTGATCTGCAATTTATATATGATTTGAATTTTCAGGAAAGTCATCACATTACAAACTTTTTCAACTCTATATTCTTATACGCAAAAAATTGGATTCATGGGCTGAACTCGTACTGCATTTTTTGCATGCATAGCGTCACCAAGGATTTTCATTTTTAAATGATTTTTTTTTTATAAAAGGTCTTTAAGCCTATATGTAAATGGAAGACAATTTATTTTTATAAATTTTATATTTGGGCATTTGACTATAAATTTGCTTCATTAGAGAAGTTTTTTTTAGTTGGTGTTTCAATAATTCATCAAAAGTGGAAGTATTGCCAACTCAGGTTTAAGGGGCAAAAAGAATTGGACTTCAAAAGACAGCTTTACGACCTTATTTTATGGGCAGGTAGTTTGCTCGAGAACATCAAATTTTGTTGATTTTAGTCTCAAAAAGGATGTTTACGAAATTTCTCAATGATTGTATGATTCATTAAAGCAATTACATGATTTTTGAAGGGAGGAATGATTTTGAATTCTACTTTTTCTTACTAGATGTGGTATTCTCAATTGTTGAAAGGTTTCAATGTTTAACAAGTTTATCTGATCGCATGTACATGAATTTATATTCAGTGTTTTGATATGCTGTGACTGTCTTTTTTTTTAAATAAGCTTTTTGATCCATCATGTGCAACAAGGAGCCGTTTGATTTCACATAAAAATGTTCTCCTTTAGTTGAATGCTTGGCTAATTGAGCGGGTACATGGGCAGGCTGTGCTGGCCATTCTTCTGAATCTATTGTTATAAAGACATGAACACGACTTTGTATTTTTGAGTTCTTTATCGGTTACATTCAAAATGCTTAAATGTATGTTTGTGGATTCGCTTACAATGGCTGCAGACTGGAATTCAATTTTTCTTTCAGATGTTAAGTTTGAACATTTAACATTTTACATTCAAAATGCTTAACTGTATGTTTGTGGATTCGTTTACAATGGCTGCAGACTGGAATTCATTTTTTCTTTCAGATGTTAAGTTTGAACATTTAACATGCTTACTAGAGCACATGCGGATAAATTTGCTCTCGGTGGTATTGATATGTCATCCACATTTTTTTTTGAAAGCTTTCTAACCCATGATGTGTAATAGTGAATTATTTAATTTTATTTAGAAATATTCTTATTTACAGAAACATGCATCCGTTTGAGATAAACAAGGGTCAGTTTATGACTTCGCATTTTGGGCTCATTATAGTTGCATTTTTTCCGTTTACATGCGTTTGTGGATTTGGTTGCAATTGTTGCAAGCTGAAATTCATTTTGCATTTTGAAAAAAGCACAATTCATCTGTGTATTGCTAATATTTTATTAAAGTGGGCCAGCAGAGAGCATTAAACATAACGACTTGGCCACAAAGCACCAAGCACTTGAATGAAGACTCTCTGCCATCAGCCTAATTCAGCCTAATACAAGCCCCAAGGGCTAACCGATGTGCACCCTGCATTAGTTCCGCTAAAGCAGAATGCATGAGAACAGAGCGCATGCTTTGTTCCTCCTACAAATAATTAGAGGCAAACCAGATCACACTCTTCATTAAGTCTGCTAAAGCAAGGGAAGGGAGAGGAGAGAAAGAGAGGGAGAAATACAGTAGAGGGGATTAGAGTGAAACAGAGAAAGAGGGAGAAGAGGGAGGGATAGAATGGGATGGAGAAGGGAAGTCGATGGGTTCGTTGAATAGAGAAGATGGCGGTAGCTGCTGCTCGACAGAAAAATCAAGCAGGATTTAAGCTTAAATCTGTAATGTTCTTGAACTCTTGCTTCACAAGCTGCTTTTCTCATCGATGCCTTCTCTGTAAAGCTCCCCTTCACATGCTGCTAAGCCCATTGGTGCCTTCTCCTACAAACTCTCGCCAAGACTTGGTTCTGTGCCATGTGGGTTTCGGGAAGGAGATGGAGGATGAGAGAGAAATAAGCGAGCATGATGCAGGGATGCAAGTGAATGATTCTTAGATTTTCTTTTTTAGGTCTTTGAAATAAGCGCTGAACCGTGGGGTACCATCAAGTCAGTAATGGGGATTTGTTTAAGCAGATGAACAAATCATAATGAGTTCACTGTGCTGACTTGATTATGCTTGGTCGTTTTGTCAATGTAGGCCTTGAATAGTTTTTACTGATTGCATAGATTGTTTTGTTAAACCTTCAAGTCATTGTAGTTTTATTAGTTTGAAATGTGATCGGCTTTTAAACTTATCACCAATTCTGATGTGTCATTTCAAGTAATTCTATGGATATCTTTTTGCATGTTTAGTTAATTTTTATTATATGCTTATAATTATTTGTTTTGACCCTCATCTTTCTTCTGTTTTTCTAGTTGATTGACATAGCAAGAGAATATTTTGCACTATCTGACTTGGAGAAGGTCACGCAAGCAGGCGGCTCACTCTCCATTCACATTGGTGATGCCCTTTCTCCAGATGCAAATGTTGAAGGAGGCTTTGCAGGTAATTTTTGAATGCTAAACCTGAGTTCAGACATCCCCCTGTTTAGGTTTTAATAGAATCTTGTAAATCTCTGAAGCCAGTGGATCAGAATTCTGCATATTAACAAACTCTATCATGATAAAGTTCTAATAATTCGACAACATCTGAACTTAAATTTTACTTATTTCTTGGTTAGCTCCTTCAATACTTATCTTTTAATAACAAAATCAACAGGCATCATTGTTGATCTGTTTTCTGATGGAAAGATCTTTCCACAATTACAGGAGGTATAGCTTTCCATTTATTTCTACTTCTACGCTGTCTTAATGATTAGACTGCATGCTTTTCTTTTTTAGAATTGTTAGATTTTTCAATGTAATTGGATTCTTGATCTTATCAAAGCTACCAGGTAAGAGTCAATCTTTGGCTAAAACTCTTAATCTAAGTGTACTTTTCCATATTTATGGCCCTCCTTGCAATAGCATAAAGTTTGAACTATAATTGGATCTAATGTGGGTGTTTCTTGTCTGATTTGAGATCACATGTTTATCACTTGAAAATTGAGAAAGTAAATAGTATCTTGGAAAATTTAATTAGAATTCTAACTTTAATCTCTTTCTAGTTATTGAAGTATGAAATTACCCTAGGCCAAATAAGCAGTGAGAAGCTTCTTTGATAGATACTAAAATTCGCTTACTCGATGGGATTTGCATGCTAGCAATTGTTGTGACTGTGATTACCAGCACCATCATTTCTATTATGCTTATATTTTCAAACAACATTATGGCAAACAATGATAATTTTTCCTAAATATCTGAACTGTTGAGTCAAATCCTTAGTTTCTGGACTTGGCAATGCATCACCATAATCTGCATTTTATTTATTAGCTGCAGCCAATAAAACAGTGAAATTATTATTTTTAAAAGGTGCATGGCTAAATCTCACATGACTTAATTCCAGCACTGCAAATTTGATTTCATGGTTGATTTTGATGATTGCCTAAATTATTAACTGCTAATTATTATGCTGATTGAAGTTATCTATTGAAGATGATCTGAATGCATCTGTATATATTGCAAGACACAACTTCTATTCTAAAACCCATATCTCAGCCTGTTAACATCTAGTTGCATGTTTGTTGAGATCAATCAAACTATTTTATGTTGTATTACATTAATGTACAATGAACTGGGGGAATTATGAATGACTTTGAGATTGTTTGGGCTTTCGCCTTGCATAAACGGGTTGGCACCGTTCTAGGGCTTCTATAAGATATTTAGGAAGCGTAAGAGGGTTAGGGATGTTGTAGGATGGTAATGGGATGGGAGGAAGGATGTCGATTAAGTTCCGGTGTGAATGGTGGTGGGACAGCAGTAGAGAAAACTGGAAACAGCAGTTTCCTGCTGTGGGGCAGCCCTTTTCTTCTGTTGAACAGCAGTAGCAGCGAAGAAGGATGGTGCTTGGATGAAGGCACCGGATAGACAGCATTTGGAAATGTATCGAGGGTGTGGCGGCTCTCCAGTTGGAAAAGAGCATGGCGAATGGCGAATGGCGATTCATTCTTCCTAAATTTGATAGCTGCCAATTTAACTCTCTTATCTTGGGGAAAGTATTTGTACTAAAAATTGGTTCTGTTGTCTGGAGCCACTCAATAAATTCATATGGATCCATGTGAACGCCAAAATTCGATAAATTGACTTTTACCCCAAGTTCCTAACTTCTCATCTAAAATTCCATACCAAATCGTCAGGGTATTGGTTCTTCATCACTGTAAATTGTTTGGTGGAAGAGATTATTTCCTTTTCTCGATCTTGAGACTCACATTGTGGCTATTGTGACCTCGCCGGATTATCTTCTCTAGAAGACGACAAGTCTCTATTGCTGTTGGAGGATTTCTTGTTGCATATTCTCCATAGTAAGCTAGTAGACGCTTCTTTATGGATTTCTCATAGGTGGCCTTTTCTCCCGATCAGGTTTCCCGCAGATGTGTTATTGCAAATCAATGTTGGTCGGGGTCTTAGGTTTTGGTGGTAGATGTCGGGGTGAAATTTTGGTGATGATAGGGTATTTGAATTTTGTAAATTTTAGATTTACGGTTAGAAATCTTGTAGGGATTGTTAGGGTATTGAGTTCGTTGAGGATTTAGGTTATGTGAAATTTTGGTTAGGCATATGAATAAAAATTCCCTAAAAATTTAGAGTTTGTCGTGCTCTGATATCATATGATACCGTTCTACGGTTCCTAGAAGATGTTTAGGAAGCTTATTTATGCAAATTACCCTGAGAGATACCCAATCATAATTGCATCTTTTTGTAGTGTTATTTGGCGGCAAAATTACACCGTCAAAGTACACCTGTTTATTACTATTGACATGAGATCTTTGAAAGTGGTTATATAGATTTGTCAAATGTCGCTTATGCTCTTTATAAGATTAAGTTAACTTTAAATTTTACCATCTATGACAGATTGTTTCTGAGATGATGGATTGTTGCACTAAGCCTTAAGCAAAAAACTTTGCTTGAATGTTTTTTGAATTTTATAATTATCTCGAGATTTTGTATTCTTATCTTAATTATAGCCTAAAATACTTTGGATGAGACTTTGAGAGCATTTTGATGATAATGATCCTATTTGGCTAAAATTTGTTATCAGTATTTCAATTATCGAGATATGTTGATTTATGGAACTTTGTTGCTTGATTCTTGTTAACCTTGCACTTTTTTAACAAAAGATTAGGCTTATAATTTGCATATGGTTTGACTTAATCTTTAGATCATTTTGCTGTGAAACTTGTTGACTCGACCTCAAGTATAAAGGATAAAGTCTAAGAGTTAATACTTATAAATGTACCTAATAAATATGATATTGAGAGTTTTTTTTTTTTTTTTTTTTTGGGAAATTAGCTTTCTTTATTAAAAGCTTGTAAGGCTAAACATAAAGCAAAAATAATTTGGTGATAGTTGATCTACCCGTGTCACTAGGCAATCCAAATTGAGCCCACGTCAAAATCAAAGTCAATGTAGATCTCCAAATAAAATATCACCTAAAACCAATTTAAAATATCTAGTTCATAATCAAAATATTTTAATCATTATTCTTTTTAAGAAATAATTTTCGTTGATGAGATCAGAACATTAAGAATATCAAGAAAGGACCACTGCAATGAGTTCGATCATATGATGAAAAATGACACCCAACAAACACGGCGTTGCACAATTTTAAACCAAAATATATAACACAAAACAAAGTAATCAAAATATTATTTGCTTTGTAGAATGAACTCTATTGATATGTCTAAAGCGTAAAAAATTACTAAAAAAAGGAGACCTTGTGTTACCAAATAACCACTTTATACTATAAATGTGACATTGCACAAAGTTGTGCGACCATAAACTATTCCTTGAAGCAGACTCAACCGAGTTATCTAGAACAGAAACAAAACTCAGGTTTCGCATGAGGCAATAATGAGAAATTGTGTGAGAATGAATCCACACGTGCATTGTTATTTTAAAATAAAAATAAAAATAAATCGATTATCTATATATATATGTTAATCTTACTAACAATTGATAATAATTTATTTATCAAATCTCTCCAAATTCTTGCTGACTCCCAATTCTTGATCATCCTCATATGCCTTCCCATCCGCTGACGTGTTGTCCCCGTTGTCCTGTCTGTTCCTGCTAGCTAAATTTTTAAGAAAAGGCGTATACTAAAACTTCTAAGAGGCTTGCTCACCCCCAAACCGCCGCATGGTTGTTGCATCATACTCTAATTGCTCTCATTCAACTCTCCCAAAGCTCTTCGCTGATGCTCTCTCCCTCTATCTCTCAAGTGTACTCACATACCAAACGACATGAATTTGATATGATGACTGGATGAACAGGACCCATGGGACCGGATTAGATCAGAAGTGGTCATGGAAGCAGTTCAGCACTTGTCACAGGTTGCCCAGGTCATGCCACCTTGCCATTGGTGCCCAGAGATTAAGGCAGCTTGTCTGCTAGCTAGTTCATCTTAGGCAAACTATCGACCTCACCAATTTTAGAGTGCAGCTCAACTGCAAGCACGTGGTTACCGCTGCTCGCCTCGCCTTTGGTCATGCCAACCAACGTACGCAACTGCAGCAAAAAGCTCAGATCGACTGTCACAGGATAGCACGACCTATTAAAATCCTTACCTTAGTAACATGGGGTCAACACTTCCTTAAATTATGATTTACTATGAAAATGACCTCACCAAAGACTATAAATACAGAGGAATGGCTCTAGAAGAGGGAATTCTTTCCCTGCTTCTATTCGCTAGACTTCCAATACCAGAGAAAGGCCGTATTTCATTTTCTTTTTCCTCTCTCCTGTTTAATTTGTTGGTGTTTCAGCCTAGGTGGTATATTTATGGCATTTTTGAATCCAACACCAATAGCGAACTCCTGCAACTCTCTTTCTCTTGGCTCTACCTGACCTTGCTTGCTTGGACGTCATAATGCTCTCTTCTACTCAATTTTTTCACGTCATCCATTTCGCCTAGCTCTCATCTCTCTTGCCCATATCCCTCTCTTCCTCGTTTTTGTTCCAACAACCCCCTTGAATCCTTGTCTCTCTGGACCGGCCTAGCATCCATAATTGAGTCTTCCCCCTCTCCAAAATATCCTTTCCATTTAACTGCAGCACACAAATCACACACACTCGCCTCCTCACAAACCCTGGCAATTGACAATCCATCCCCCTCACAATAGCAATCAATGGAACACCCTTCTCGGGCTGCTCTCAATCTATAGCTACTCAATCCCCATCGACAAAATCTGTTGGGTATCTCTCCTCCCCATCAAATCGGTCAAACTTAGTTGATCTTGCTGACAACCCTTCAAATTTTCTGTCGAGTCTTGCCGCATTTGATCATCAAGCTCATAACCCTTGTGACCACCAGGGTTGTAAATGGGCCGAGCTTGAGCGAGCTCAGACTTGGCTCTTGTTCGACTCATTCGAAATTAATTCTGTTTGAAATTTACTTGTCAAAATTGATTATAAACAATGTGTTCATGCTCAACTTGATTTACATATCATTTTTCATGGTTTGCTCAAATTGACTCATTTAACTTAATTAGAAAAATAGATATTGGGTGTTAGATTCGAACCTGCATTATTCTTATACAATAAAAAATGTGGAATTACATGACCCCACGAGTTGTAGTGATTTAAACTTAGATATGAATATATATTATATATTATTATATAGCTATGATGCCACGTCATTACTTATTGAGAAATTAGGGCAAAGAAAAACAGGA